CATCCCTGCTCTCCTTAAGGACACCTCTTAGAATTTGCTCATATGCTTCTGCTTCTGCAATGGGAGTCCCATGGCCCAGAACTTACTCACCTGGTCACACCTGTTCAAGGAATGCTGGGAAAGGTAGTTTTCATCTGGGGAAGCCATAGCCCTAGCCAAAACTCAGGGATTCTATTTCTTAGGAAGAAGCAAAGAAGGGACAATGGGGGCAAGGGAGATAGTAGTCTCTGCTGCTGTCCACCCTTTGGCCACCCTCATGCCCATGCACGTCCTTCTTCTCACACACGGAACCACTGCCCCCTGCCCCCTGCCCCCTGCCCCCTACCCCCAAGGATACAACTGCAAAGCCCCAGCCAACTACTGCATCTGGCTCAAAACCCAGGATCCCAGAGTAAAGCACAGTTCTCTCCATCAGTTATGGATGAGGCTCTTCATGGTTTGACAACGTACAAACTAAATAATAAGTTCCCGATTCCCAATACACCAACATAAGGTAGATGAGTAAGAACAGGATGCCTGCAATAAAAACTCCCATATGGAAAAAAGTAAACTGATAAACACAACCATCATTGGTCCATACACATGAGCAAATCCTGGGAGGCAGGACCAGTGAAGGCTCCCTCTGCAGCATCGCCCCCCGTGGCCCCTACCTTGCGTCCTTGCTATTATCTGCCCTGCCACACCTGACAGATGCGGGTATTGGAAGGCACGCCCTTCCTGGAGGCTGCTGGTTTCACAGTTTGCTTCTTGGTTCTCAGGTTGGTGGTTCCAAGGATTGCTTTGGGGTTGAACAATCCCAGGCTTTTTCAGACCAGGCTGTGGTTTCTTTGGCAAACCATTTTTTTCAAACGTGGAAAGACTTCTGGTGTATTTGTTTCCAGTCAGCTCCATCTGTCAAGGCATAGTCTATTACCCTGAAGAGTCTGGCCTTTGCTTGTTGGCCTCCATGCTCGGCCGAGGTCTCCAGTCTCTCAGCATAATGGCGCCCACCCACCTTGAGCCATCTAAGCAATGGGCTTGGGTGGAAGGCAACATTCTTCAAAAGACTTTTGACACATGATTCACAAATTGGTAGGATGGGGTACTAGTTTTATTTTCTGCTAAGTGTGCTGCCTTGCACAAAACTACTCCAATAACTGATATCTTTTGAGAGACACAGCAGTTGCTGTTTTCAACCCTGCAAGGTTCTGAATTACCAAGCTCTTGGTCAACTTAGATTGGAGACCGCAGCCAGAGGGTGTCTCCATTAGCACAGCTGTGCTCCCTTTCATTCCCGCTCCCACACTGGCCGGCAGTAGCCTAAGTCCATCTCTCTCGTAGGGCTTGGCTAAAAGCAGTGAAAAGCAGCTGATGCATTTCTACATTGTCAATTTCTCCTATCATTTCCTACTTCAATTCTTGCTCAGAACATGGGCTGCTTTTCAAAACACAGCAGGGGACAGTTGCTACCAAATGCTTTGTTTCTGCATGACAAGGGTCACCAGTCCTCCAGCCCACCATATTTGAGCGCCCGCCACCTGACCACATGCATTAAGTCAATGCCACATATTTCAGTTCTGCTGCTTGCATCTCGCTTCTCTTGTTCTATATTTTGTATTGTTTAAGATTAGATTTACCTGTGAGTGACAGAAAATTCGAAATAGCAGTGGCTTAAGCAAGATATATCTAATTCTCCCTCATTTTGAGCCCTGAGTAAGGTGGTCCACTGGGGCTCCATGGTGTCAGAGACCTACATGCCTTCTATCCTGTCGATGCACCATGCATCAGCTCTAATGGCAATGTCCAGGATGGCTGCCCCAGTGCCAGCCATCATATTCTCATTCCAGCCGGTTGAAGAAGAAGAAGAGGGGGAAGAGAGAGACACATCTCCACCCTTCAAGGACACTTCCTGGAAATTGCCTTCCATTGGCCAGAACTTAGTCACATGGCCATACCTGGTTGCAAGGGAGGATGGGAAATGTCACTCCCATCCTGGATGGCTGAAAATTCAGGGTTCTTTATTGAGGAAGGAGAAGCAACACATATTGAGGCAATTAGCAGTCAATGCAGCCTCATGCTTGTGTCAGATTTCAGTAACAGTGTCATTGTGCTGGGAAAAGTGAAAGGACTGTGTTTTTCCCTGTTTTTATAGCTTGAGAATTCTTTATCCTCCTCCTCCTTCTTTACGGCAGATTTGTTTGGCCTCCTACACACATTTCAGAGGAGAATGACTAGAGGAGGTCTGCAGTCTTCCGCCCACCTGTCGTCTTTGAGGGGACTGCTGCTACACCGGCTTCACAGGCACATAAAATGAGGTTTCCCGGGTCAGTGTTCCATTTGGGAAAGTTTTAACAAGTGAGGTAGCTTCTGCGGTCAGTAAATCATAAAAGTAAGCAAAATAAACACCTCTGATGAAGAGCTCCATAAAACCAATGAGATTGTTAATGCAAATGGAAAACCAAAATTGATGAAATGCAAAATAAATATTTAACTTACGAGACTGTGGATATTTTTGGACCGCTAAGTAATTTGGAGGCTAATGTTCTTTAAAAAATCACATTCTCCCAAAAATATTTACGGTTTCTGTTTTATTGCCTTCTTCATTGCCATTAGTAAGATTTGGTTTAGGTCACGTGTATACATAAATTCCACTGGAGGCTAACATTTTCACCAAAACCTCCTGATGCTGACATTTCTAATGGAAATCTTTTTAAGCATGTAGAGAGACTTGAGAATGAACTTGTAGGAAGAGCCAGCCAGCATCCATGAGTGTTCCCTGCAGGCATCAGGTGGGGAAGGTGATAACATATAATATACACTAGCATCTGAAGGGAAAGGCTGATGTATCCTCTGCCAGGTGTGCTTCATAAACATGCCAACAGGGCTATTTTCTCCACTGGACACTAAACCCTCAAGGCCTGAGACCTATGAAAATAGTCACTGAAAAATATATATATTGGCTTCAAAATGCACAAAGGAAACAGCAAAATCTAAATTAATAAATGTCTAATTAAGTATCTACAAAATGTAACATTTTGTTCTCCTCGTTAACTGCTAATTTGGCGTTTATGAATTTTTTATGAATATAGTATTACTTTTGAAAACAGTTAGTTGGAGAGAGTCTCGTAATGCAAGAATTCACAAATCTGCACAACTGCTGAGATTTCATAACCAGTAGTAAATGAAATGAGTTACCCATAGCCAAAAGAAATTTATTTAAAATCTTTCAAAATTTGTATGTGTTTGTTTCTCACACAGGGGGTGGATACATCTTCACATGTTTGATACAATGTGGAGTTTCCAAAAAGAATGCTTTAAACAAGGGATCAGCACGCTTTTTCTGTAAAGGGCTGGCAAGTAAATACGTCCTGACTACTCAGCTCTGCCGTGGCAGCACAAAGCTGTGGTAGACAGCACATAAACAATGTACGAACCTGGCTGTGCGCCAATAAAACTTTATTTACAAAAACAGATGGTGGGCCACATCTGCCCCACGGCCGTGGTTTTCTGACCCTTGCCTCAGAGCCGGGATGGTCTATTGACCACCTCCTGACTCATGCCAACAATTCAGACTCAAAAAGTATTCTTTTCTAAAAAATTACTTTTATCCTGAATTACCCAGAAAAGGTCCTAGACTCTCCTCTGAATCATGCCAGCACGAGCACAGCTCTTCTACACATTCACGTGTCAGACTGACATTCCAATGCTTTGGAGATGGTCTTTCTTCTTTTTCAGTCACCCAAAGCACTCGAGGATGAGTGAAGTAACTATGTCCAAACACTTGAGATCTCTTTACAGCAAATATTTGCACAGCTTCTTCAGAAAGAAGAGGAAAGTTTGAACCCTGAGTCAGCTAAAACTTACTGTTTAGTATAATACTTCACTGATTCGACAGCAAATGTGTGTTTCTCCTGATTTATCCCAGGGCATAAGAGGGCATTCACAAAAGTTATGCTCATTCGTTATATAAACTTTTTAGAATTTGGATGTAGACTTATAGATATCCAATATATACATTAAAGTATCCTGATAGCACTTAAAATTTTTCTGAGCCAGTCTCTTATCTATTACTCAGACAAGAAAAGTATTTAGAGGACACATGTCCTACTATTTAAATTTTTTTAAGATTTGTAAAAGAAACTAACCCCTCTCCCACACTTAGACTAGCAATAAGTGGACAAGTAAAAAATCAATTAAAGTTTGTGGTTTTGTTTAAAGATAAAATCTAAGGGGAACTTATTCATTCAAAGGCTAGTAAATTCTTTTACTTACATAATACACACAAGTTAAATTATGTCCGTTCATTTTTTTAAGTATGCACTGCTTACAAAATTTTAATCCTAATCATGTCTCTCATGATAACATTATTTATTTATCAACTCAAAAAGTGAAACAGGATCGATATTTATTTTTTTAGATACTAATCACAAATGTTTTAGAAAACATTTCCCTATTTACCTGTTTCTTCACTTAAACTGAAGCAGAATCATAATTATAGAAATGTAAATAATCACTAAAAAATCTATTTTCATTTTTTCCCCAATATTACCTATTGTTGCCAAATTGCTGGGTAATCTATGGATTGTATTTTCATTTACCTCAGAGCTGGGCTGCTAATGGAAGCAAGGAATTACACATTTAAATTCACGTTTCTCTAGAAAATCTATCTGATAAGTCAAAATTTAAAATTTGTGTAACCTGCTATTTTGCTTTGGTTCAAAATGTCTGGTCTGAGAATACCAAAGCATTTGATCCAAACTCATACCTTATCCTCATCCTAGGACTAGGTGGTAATTTTGTGTGTGTGTGTGAGGAAGATTAGCCCTGAGCTAACATCTGATGCCAATCCTCCTCTTTTTGCTGAGGAAGATTAATCCTGGGCTAACACCCATGTTCATCTTCCTCTACTTTATACGGGACGCGGCCACAGCATGGCTTGACAAGCAGTGAACCCCAGGCGGCAGAAGCAAAGCACACGAACTTAACCGCTACACCTCCGGGCCGGCCCCTAGGAGGTAATTTCTTTAAAAAAGGAAAAAAAAAACAAAGCCCTTGAATAGTGATTCCCCTCCATGAATTAGTCCACTTCTCCAAAATATGCATTTCTTAGGAAGGAACACCTGACTTGGAATATATTTCTTGAAGGGGAGCAGCCTTTGAACCCAAAGAGTCCAGCAAGTCAGACGGCAGCTCCTGTTCCGAGAAGGTCAGAGAACTGAGGGTTTCGGCTATTTCACACTCTCCCTCCTCAGCGTAGATGAGAGGCGGGTAGCCAGTATCATCTTCCAGTACGTCAACACCACAGAGCTTCTGGAGAAAAGCCAGGTAAGAGAAGGTAAAGAGAAGGTAAATGCCAGGTTCTTCGATACATGGTCAGTTTTCTCCAGGATCCATTTGAAGGATGCCTCCATGCAATATTAACGGCAGCAGGCCCTTTGTCCCTGGCTGCAGCAGAAGTTTCTACAGACTGAGAAACAGCATCCCAGCTGAAGGGAAAGATACCACCTTCATACTTTCCAGCTAATTTCTGAGAGGGAACTATGACAATTATGGCGGTACATGTCCTAGGTGGTGTGACGGGAGCCCCTTAAGAAGACTTGCCACCCCGATCTCAGCCTCTTACAATTCATTCTTTGGGGTTAACCCTTCCACCACCTGTGCCCTGATATCTCCCCTCTTGGTCCTTGCACCTGCTGTCCCCTTCTTGAATGATTGTCCCCACCTGCCAACCTCCACTCAGCAAGCTCCAGCTCATCCTTCAGGGCCCAGGTCATCTCTCTGAAGCCTTTTCTGGCCTGAGGAACTCAATAAATGTTGGTTGGATGGATGGATGGATGGATGGACGGATGGATGGATGGATGGATGGATGCGTGGATGGATGCATGGATGGATGGATGCATGGATGAATGGATGGATGCATGGATGCATGGGTGAATGCATGGATGGATGCATGGATGGATGGATGGATGGATGGATAGATGGATGGGT